TATGTTTTATCAGTAGAGATTACCGATAGAGATGGTTTAAGTGATAAAACGACATATTTTATAATATATTAGATGGATATGCATTTAGACTAACACGGGAACGTTATTTATCTTCTGTGCATTTAAAAATTAGAATATATGTGATATACGAGTAATTCTATAAAATTATTGAATGTTTTTACTTAGCTATATCAGGAATTAAATGAATTTTTATTAAAAGCAATCAGATTCGAAAGTAAAAAAAGAGTAATCTTAAGAAATTAATGTATTGATTTTAAATAGATTAGTTTTTTTATAAATAACAGACAGATTAAATATGAAAGAATAACATCTTATCTTTTTCTGAATGGCAACAGCTTCGAATTAAAACGCATTAAAATGAAACAACGCAAAATCATGTTTCGAAGAGACTCGCTGCTCTTTTGGGCTAATAAAATAGTAGGAACAGTAATTTCTAGCTCTGGGAAAGGCATTTTTATAAGGTAAACAACGATAAAATCAAGAAAGAAATGGAAAACATTGATGAAGTAAAAGCCTCCGAGTGTAAACAAACATGCATACAGCAGGTTAAAGCTAAGACAAAAGTTTGCAAACAGTAAAATTTCAGAAATTAAAATGTCGTAAAATAATATTTCTGAAATTATGACCCCTTAAATATCACCAGGAATGAAAAATAGAATTTCAAATACTTAGAATTTTTTAAAAAGAATTTTAGACATAAGTAAATTTTTTTCCCTCTTTCTTTTTGGTCCAAAAGGGCTTTGTCCCTGAAGGACTATTGTTTTCGTTTTGCGAATTTTCATTGGTTTACTATAAATGTCCGTTTCGCTTTTCAAACTGTTGCCATTAAATGTTAGAGGCCTGCATGATATTTCAAGAAATTAAATAATGAAAAATCTGCATAAGTGTACGTATGTTTCTCGCACTGTGATAAAACAACGGTACACTGAGCCATCGAATTTTGAATGACGTAATCCTCCTACGAATATGGGCATGTGGAAGCCCAAATTTGAAATTTTGAATTTGTTTTATTATCGATTTCATATCTTGTAAAACATTTACGAATTTTTGATTAACAAAATCAAGGATTTCAAAGCGAGCAATGGGAACGTTGTATGGGTTTCGAAACTGCATTCCGTAAAATGTTCAGCAGCAGTTTTTAATGCCCAATGATCTGTCTCGAATATTATTTTTTATCTCCAGCTCACGAGATTCTGTATCGGAAATTCTAAAGAGATGCTCAATTTAAAACTATTTTGCGATATTACTCTTGAACTGAATTTTATGGTTTAAGTATGAAGAATGTGATATTTAATAAATAAAGGTGACAGAAAAAAATGTTTAAAAAATCCCGTTTGGACGTAATTTAAAATCTGAAACCTATCAGATTTTTACTTTTAGTCCAAAGGGGCTTTGTCCGTGAAGGACTATTTTTCTTTTTTTTTCCTTGCAGACTATAGAATTTAAACCCTCGAATGTTAAATTAAGTCACTGAATTATACTATTTAAAAGCTGAGGATATTTATCGTCTCCAAATTATAGATCTGAACTCATAAATGCTATAGGAAAATAAAATTATTTATGAAAAACCAAGCTTAACTACAGATAAGAATATTTTATTTATTTAAAATTGAGCAAAAAAAAACTGCGTCAGCCTGGAGTCGAACCCGGGTCAACTGCTTGGAAGGTATGCCAACCGTTATACCACCGACGTTTCGCAAGAACAGAACATCTTTCTCTACCGCAAAGTCATCAGCAATAATAATACCCAAAGCAGGCACGAATCCAACGCGCCGCCCCTGCATGAAACTACAAGGAGCCAACATAAAGATTGTCCAAACGCTAAAATACCTAGGTGTAATCTGGGATAAAAAACTAACCTGGATCCCTCACATCCAAGAACTAAAGAACAAAACATCAGCTATAGCCAGAAAGGCGCGCGCCTTCCAAGGTAGAAAACTGGGGTCCAGAATCATCATATTCAGGAAGATCCTCTACCATGCGGTAGCTGAAAAAAATAGTCTTGTTATGCTGCTGCCGTATGGGCCCAACCGATGGGAGGACGAAAGATCAAACATCTTACATTCTCTTCAACGACCATTCGCCTGAATCTCTGTAAAGCGTACCGCACCACAGCCACCAGCTCAGCGACAGTCCTTGCAGGGCTCATTCCACTCCACATACGGGCAGAACAAAGGCAGTATACACCACCCTCATATACCTCCGCAAAGATGCAATGCAACATTTAGCAGCATAACATACAGCCCAGTCTCTGCAATTTCAAAGCTCAGGTAACCCTCTTCACACTCATCCCGCACGTAAAAGGCACAGGAATAAGAATTAACATCTCACGGATACAGCCACTGTCAATGACGCGAGTTTCAAGGGATACGCAAATATACACCGACGGCTCTAAGCAGGAAGACGGAGTAAGGCAGCGCCTTTGCACACTATGACAAAGGAAGAATCATCCATGCATGTATGGAAAGGACGCCTTGACTTAAACAACAGTGTGTTCCAGGCGGAGGTGCAAGGCAATTATAACCGCGGTAGATTACATTTTCAATAATAATATAGAACGGGCGAAAATTTTCACTGACAGTATGTCAACACTTCTAGCACTAGATAATCACAACCACACCTCGCCCTTGATCATCAAAATTACAACAACTTTTACAGCGCAACCCGCAGAAACATCTCTCCTTAACATGGATCAAGGCACATGCAGAAAATGAGGGGAATGAAGCAGCTGATAGCCTGGCCAAGCAGCAAGCAGCCACTGATCCAGAAGCTGAAAAAAATCACAATCCCAGCCCCTCCTTCCTACCTCAAAGGGCTATTACGGGGTCAAGGCCTAAATCTTTGGCAGGAAGACTGGACGCACTGCTGCACAACTGGGAGACGTACATACAGCTACCTCCCGAAAGTCAGCACTGAACGCAACATTGCAATAGCTCCTCTTACGGCTTATATTACGGGACACGGCCCATTCCCGACCTACTTCAATAGACATGGTCTAACAACCACGGACATATGCGCCTGCGGAGCGGAAGACTCCCCAGACCGCTATGTTTTTGAATGCCATCTGACAGCAGGAAATCACCTCCCTCTTCCCATCAACAATAGTGAAGCTTATCACCGCTTCCTTATAAAGCACAAACCGACAGTAAATACAATTTGCAAAGTTGTTAACAAGCTCAAGAGAATGGGCCAAGATTTGTGCTCTCCTCATTAACCAAAACTCTCAAGGCATGATACACTAACTAAGTCAGCATGCAGTTCTACATTCTCAGACACATAAGTCTATTCCTTAAACTTACATAAGTCCCTATTACAGACACTTATCAAATAATGTACAATCAAATGTATTTAACATTTCCTCTTCTGTATTTTAATCCTATTATTTTGTAACTGTATTTTTGTATCTGTACATTTAATTTGTATTTTTATTTGAATTTTATTGTGAATATGCAAAATTACCATAGCAAATTGCAACAACAAATGTCAAAACGGTAAAACGAATGCAATCTGCCCTTGTATGGCCATGTAAATGCTCTTGTTAACATCCTAAAATGGTCCCGAGGCGGCCTCTTGAGGCCTCAAGGAGTTGTTCCTGGTTAGTGGAGGGCGCGGGACACATGCCTGTTTACCTCTGTTAGACATCAGGCGTCCCCGTCCTCCGTTACCAACCAACCAACCAACCAACCTTTTTCTAGATCAAAAATATGTCACTGACCGCTCGCAACAGTTCATCCTCATCCGAGCTCGACAGTGAAAGCAAGTTCACATGAGATTACAGCACGTAGCTATGCACTACATTTCAAAATTCTTGGTAAGACTGAGCTTACTCCGAGGTAATTTTAAATGGAACAATTTTTACTAGTATGGCTCGGTTTTTAAACGAATCAAATAATGTTTAAAATTAAAATGGCCAACCAACGTAACTTGCATTCCGTAGAATGTTCAACAGTAGTTTTTAATGCCCAATGATCTGTCTCGAATATTTTTTTTATTCTAACTTAATCCATCGATTCCCCAAAACAAGTTGAAAATGACATCAAAAGTTACAAATTTTAAAATTAAATATCTTGTTTATTTCTGTCATACGGGGATCAAACTTCTTACAATTTTATTTTTCATAAATCATTTCCAAATGTAAGTATAGGGACCGGAAGACGGCATTAAAATTTTTTCGTCATTTAAAACATTTTTTATAATTGTATTGAAGGATATGACTATGACGAACAATTGCGAAAATAAAGTCCAGGTAAGGACTTTTAAGCTGGATAAAAGTGTTGAGTATTTATATGTACTTTTAATGCCGATTGCAGGCAGTTCCATATTCAAAATTCAGTATTCTAATCGTTTTTCAGTTATGCGAGACACATACGTGCGTACGTACCTGCAGACGTCAAGAAAAAGTCCATTTTAAACCCACTTTACAGTCTGTTTTGCAAAAGAAATTAAAAAGTCCTTTATTCTGTCTACAGACGTCATGAAAAGATCCATTTATGTTAATTTTACAATCAGTTTTGGAAAAAAAGTTCTTTGTTGTTAGTACTTACAAATGCGATATAGAAAAATAGTCAAAATGGATTCGGAAACTGTCTAAGTGGATATTTACGTTGAAATATTACACCGGAAATTTTTCGTGGTTCCAGTACTCCTTTGCTCCTTACAAGAAAGTACAAAATTACTTTTATAAAAGTTGTGAAATATAACTTTTAATGCACTCTGATGATTTCTACATTCATATTGTTACGAATTTTGTATTTAGTTAGATATTTTTAGAAGAATTATAATTAAAATTGTTTTATTTCCCTGTGCAATGCAGCGCGTGATTAATTTTAAGAGAAAGCTACGCCGAGAAAGTAAAAATATAAGAGCACCTGCATTTAACATTGAATAAATAAATATCTCTTTTATTTGTATTTAAATTGAATGAATGTAATGGACTACTGTGTTAGCTGTAACCGTAATTCTACTGTTTTGCTTTCCAGAAATGTCGAGAAGCAAAGAAATTACCAGAGCGACCGATTTAAAGGTATAAAAGTCAGAGAGAGAACATCTCAGAAGTTGCTTAGTTACTGTTATTGCGATTTGTTTTAGTTCCGCGCGAGTTGAATTAGCTTTCTGTTTCTCTTAGAATTTCGTTATATTTTAATGTTTTTAGTAGTTTAAGTTGTTAGTTGTATTGCGTTCTGTTTAACGTATTTGCGTTCACCTGATTATTAGTGTCTGATATTGCGAACATTTGCAAGACTATCTCTGAGGAAAATTCCAACATTTTGTTATATTTCTTAATGATAGGAATAAATTTTATTAACTTTTTATCGGACTTGTGCATTGAATCTATCACGAACCCGTACGCAAGCAAAAATATTTTGGAAAAAATTACGTTTATTATTAAAAGTAAAAAACACAAAATATTTTGAGTAAAACAAGCATAAATGTTTTACGTAAAAATCCCAAAGTCGTACTTAAAAACGCAAGATTTTTACGTACTATAAATATTGATCGAGATATTTAATCTTATTATTTCAGCTATTTGATGCCATTTTCAATTTGCCTTGACGGGTTCGGTTAAAATAATTAATTAGAATAATTGTAGAGTGATTTTTGTCCTTAAATGCCATTCGATGATATTCTTTGTGACTTATTACTGTGTAATATTCTTTCATTTATAATTTCGGTAAAATCTGTATGCTGAAAGCATTTTCACACAAAGAATTTATAACTTTTCAAATTCTAAAAATACATCGTTTATATTTTCATAAAGTTCAATTGCTTTGGAATCATAACGTAATAATAAAAAAATTGAAATTAAAAATATCTTTAATTTTTTATCTATATAAATAATGTTACGAGTTTGGTGTATACTAGTTTGGTGTATGAGAAAACAAAGTTTGTGAGTTCTTATGATTAAGATCTCGTTTAATGATATATATATATATATATATATATATATATATTAATGATTACTTTTCCCGAGCATCTGCACAAAAGTGTTCGTCACTTCATGTAGTATTAACATCATAAACCTCATTCTAAACTGATATTTTTAGTTATTTGAAAATGGAAACATTTCGCTCGTCAATTTGTATGTGGGACATGGGAACGATCTCCAAATTTCGAGGAAACATCTCGTTCAATATTTTTCATATAGGACTCACACTTTTTTATACAATTCTTTATATTGAGTACAAAAGTTTTCTAAATATAAATACAAAGATCAGAAAACCCTAGAAAAAAATTAAATTTCGTAAATTTTAAAACTAATTTTTTTAAGTGGCGAAAGATAAATATGCCTCATTTAAAACATTTTTGTAACTGCAGGTTGCATTTCTCACTTACATTTAAAAAAATTTTATAATCATTATGAAAAATAAAACACAATTAAGTGTGAATCTTATACAGCAAAAGTTGAGTGAGATTAGTGCGGTGTATAAAAACACATTAAAAGAAAATAAACAAGAAAGATTTAAAAAAATAAACAAGAAAGAAAGATTTAAAAAATAAACAAGAAAGAAACATTAAAAAAAAAAAAATGAACTTTGCGTCGGCCGGGAGTCGTACCCGGGTCAACTTCTTGGAAGGCAGCTATGCTAACCGTTATACCACCGACGCTTGGTGAAGTCAATTTACAATGCTTTCCCGTTACATCTAAAGCAGACTATGTAAAGCAGAAAAGACTTTAAAATGGCGTGATTGCACGCACCTGTCATGTTTCATTTTCTCTGTTAACATACGTCGAAGCAGTGAGCGGAAAAGTTATGATTTTAATTTGCGTATTTTGTTTCCCGATTGTCAGTTTACGACTTTCAAAACAGGATTAAAATTCGCTGCAAAATAATTTAAGAATTCACTAAATACTTACAACATATGGGTTAAAATTTTCCTAATTTATTTATTACGAAAAAGTGAAAAAAAGAAATCTAAAAAGCTTCAGATTTTAATGTGGCAACGGAGAATTTGCTAGATTTTTTGTACTCTAAGCATCGTTTTTTCGCACTTACGCAGCATAAAATTCAAGAGCAGATCCATAAAATATTTAAAAACAGCATATCTTAAATTTCCTAATAAAGTGTATGGGATCGCCATGCAGTTATTTATACTCGCTACGTTACTTCTTTGAAAACTTGCCGCTCGAACGGCCTGCCGTCAAAAGAGTTATCATAAGAAAGAAAAATAATACATGATGATTTTATGAGTCCAGCTGGTATCATTTCATAAAAATATTTCTAATTAGACCTCCATTCATATGCATGTTCATTTAAATTAATCACATTAAAATGTAAAAAAAAAGTATTCTTAAGTATTGCATTTATTGCTTTTTAGTCATTTGGTTTGCTACTTAGCAACAGAAATATTAAATACGACAGTTAAGTAGCTTAAGCTTTACTGAATGGCAACACGCTGATGCGTGGATATAATAAGTATTCTATTTCAGGCAGCGGCAACTCGTTACTTTCAAATAACTGAAATTTTAGGATTAAAACTGAAAAGTAAATGTTACATTTTGCAGAATGGCAACAATCTAGCTCACTTGAGATAAAAATATTTTATTTCAAAGTGTTGCCACTTCTTGCTTTCAGTTTGTTAAACAAAAATTCTTTAAATTTATACAAAAGATGAAGTAAATCAAAAACAAACTCGAAATTCAAAATTCGTATTTCGATGTGCCCGTGTTCAGGAGAAGGACTCGTAAAGGACGGGTGAAGGTTCGGATTCGGTGGCTTTTAAGGTAGCCGTTTTTCTACAACATTGTTGAAGTGCGTATTTTAAAGAAACAAACTATAGTGCTCAAATATATAACGGAGAGTAAACTAGTGTTTAGATTAAAAGTCCAACAGTGAACTAGTATTCATGATACTAAACTGGTGTTTAGATTAAGCTAACAGTAAGCTAGTGTTTAGATCAAAAGTCTGGCAGTAAACTAGTATTTAGATCAAAAGGCCAGCAGTAAGCTAGTGTTTAGATTATAAGTCCAACAGTAAACTAGTACTTGTAATATTAAACCAGCAATAAGCTGGTGTTTTGATTAAGCCGAAAGTAAGCTAGTATTGAGATCGCCCAGGGGTAAACAAGTGTTTAAATCGAAAATCCGACTATAAACAAGTGTTTAGATTAAAAATCCGGCAACAAACCGGCATTTGTAATATTAAACCAGCAGTAAATTAATGTTTGGAATAGGCTGAGAGTACATTAGTATTTATATCAAAAGTCCGGCGGTAAACTAGCGTTTAGATCGAAAGTCCGGCAGTAAAACTAGTGTTTAAATTAAAAAGCTGCAGCTAAAATAATATGTATAACATTAAATTGACAGTAAACTAGTGTTTACATTAAGCGGGCAGTAAGCTAGTATTTAGATCAAAAGTCCGGCGGTAAACTAGCGTTTAAATAAAAAAAAAAAAAAATTGGTAGTAAATTAGTCTTTAGATTAAGTCAGCGGCAGTAAACTAGTGTTTAGATCAAGTCGGCAGTAAATTAATATTTAGATTAAAAGTCCGATAGTCCGATGTTTAGATTAAGCCAAATTGAATTAATCTTACATATTCTAAGAAAGATAATTCACACATCACACAGATGAATAAGAAGTTAGAAGCAAATGAGAAAATTTCTTTTGACATTCTAATTTTAAGTTTTAATCCTCCCGACACTCTTCTGATGCGTAGATTTTGGAGTTGACTTCAATATCCCCCCCCCTCGAAAAAAAAAGGAAATGAGACTTTCGTTAAAACTATACTCAGCAAAATCAGAGAGGACATCCGAAACTGCACCGTAGTCGCATTTCCAGATCTTGATGATTTCGCCTTCATGGTATCCTCCGTTCAACTAATGTGCTCGCGGCGTCAAAAATCGATCCAGAATTCCCGTTCCCTCCTCTCAGAAGATTGTTTGTTCTCCGCCTTCATCCTCGACAACCCCCTCTCCGACGCCCTCGGCCCATTCAATCGAAGTCGAAAGCAGTCGATACAAAAGACGAATGGGATCCCTGGCATTGTTTTCTCATTAATTACAGCTCGTGTTGCACTCTGAGAGAAGCCTTACGAAGGGTAAAGGAAACAGGCAGCGTGGCTGTGATTTGAAAGGAATCCTTGCAAATACAGATATCCTCTTATAACACGGTTTTCTAAAAAAAGGATTCCGCTCTTACACGATAAGAAAATTGCGAAAACCCTCTTATGTTAAGAAAACACAAATAAAAGACTCTTTTATTAACTTAGATAAATTAACAGAAGTGCTTAACAGAACCAGCCAGCATTTATGTCGCAAATCAAAAGTAACGAATTGAACTTAACTAAGTACAGTGCAGTTAGTCCAAAAGCTACACAGACGGAAAACGCGCAAGTTAGCTCAGGCCTAATATCGGCATGATAAGCCTCATGGCAAGAATAACACAACGCCGTATATAAACTGCTTACATAAGAAACAACTAGTAACGTGGTCTTCAGGAGCCGGAACACGTTCTAATTCTTCAACCTAAAAACATTCCTTTATATGCTATCTCTTTCTACCTCATTTGAGAACTCACGAACTAGAAATTAGCATTCTGGCAGTAAAATAGAAAGGCAGAGAGACAGAAACCTAATTAACAGGAAATAACTGGTTAATAAAAATAAATGAACACTCTAACTAAGTTTTTCTAATTATTTTTAGAATTAATAATAAGTTTATAAAATTTATAGTTAATTTTATCTCATTCCTTAGCACATGTTTAGCAGCAACTATCATTTGCTGCTAAAATGCCGAATTAATATTCTTTCATTTCAAAATTTTCTTTGCTCCAGTGTTACAGATTTTAAGAGCTAACTCCTCTTTTTATTTCTATTTTATATTTTTATGCATTTTGGATCAAGTTTTCCTTTTTTAGCCCAAAGGGACCATTTGCCCAGAAGAATTTCGTTTGGGCATTTTGCGTTCATTCACTACAAGCGTTGTTTCACTTTTCAAATTGTTGCCACCAAATATTATCGCCCTGTATTACATTTAAAGAAGTTAAATAATGAAGAATCCGCATAAACGTATGTATCTCGCATTGTG